CTATAATACAAGAAACTAATTAAATGTATTTACTCTAGAATTTTTTAAAAGAATCAGTCTGTTAAACTAAGTTAAATAGCTAGTGCAGGATTTTTTATTTGTAAAATAATTATCGAAATGTTTTCTTAATTACAAACAATCATTGACTAACTATAACCTGAAATAATAAAAGAAAGTTTTTAAACTGATAATTGTAAAGTTTTCAGTAATATATATGTATATATAAATATATGCAGACATGTATATATATACAACTATATGTGTATGTGCATGTAAATTCAAATAAAATATCCAAATATTCAAACAGAATTCCAAAATAACAATTTATTTCCAAAAAATTTAAATGTTTTTTTTACAAATTTTTAATATTTAAATACGTTTTTTAGATACATAGTACATAGGTAATAACTTTGATAACAATGAGATATTTATCTAATCACATACAGTAATACCTCAACTTACGCTACCCAGAGTTATGAGATTTTCAAATCTCGTCGATTTGTCTTTTGTTTGAGTGCCACGCTACTCTTGATTACTCACTCCCCCACACTATTGTTCAGCTTACATGTTGAGACATGTCGTGCAGAATCGATGCATAGCTACAATTTATTTTGTGTTATTTATTTCTGTGTTTGTTATATCTACAAAGACTTGAGAGACTCTATGTGGTGATTTCTTGTAACTGTGAACGAATCAAAAGAAGAGATAAGATTAATGAGAACATTTTATTAGCTTACATACATCTGACTTAGATTTTACACAAATTGCGAAATTATACCCTAACTTACGCAAATTTGATTTATGCAGTTATCGCTCAGTCCCACCTATTGCATAAGTTTGGGGTATTACTGTACACTGAACCAATTACAGTGTACATATAACAAAAACAAACAAAAATCAGTGGCGTACCATAGTGGGGGCGGCACTTTTTAGGGGGCAGCAAAATTTCACAATAAATAATAATAATATCTTGTAAAAATTTGAAACATCCTAATCTATACTTGCATCGCGCCTACAATAGTGCTATTGTCCGGGAATCGGCTCACCGTATGGGTGAACTAGTAATTTTTCTTTTCTTTGCTTGTACGATTCATTCGCATTCATATACACCACTAATATCCAATAGAACTATTTTAAACAGGTCGCTGCACTACCACCAAATTTTTCATTGCTTGTTCTGTGACAAAACTGAATTTTGGGTTTTTAAATTGAAATACCTAAATAAGGGGCAGCGAAATTTTCCTCTGCCCCAGGTGGCTGACATTCATGGTACACCACTGACAAAAATGACTCTTTGCGTAGGTATGATGTGGCTTTAATTTTTTGAACTTATATTTGAACTCTTGTTCAAATTTTATTCCAAAATGAAGAATCATTACAAAACCTGATGAAGAACTTGAATGGAGTTTGTAAACATTCATTTTTGTTTGTTTTTGTTATCTACACACCGTAATTGGTTCAGAGTACATGATTAACTATATCCTAGTGTGGTGAGTGATTGTTTACTCTTTAGAGATATTTATCTGTCATTAACATTATATAAGTAAAAAAAATAAAATGTATAAATAAAAAATGAAAATTAATAATAAATCTTAATTTATTAATGATTTAATTATATTACAATTTTAAAATGTGTTTAATGGAAATGGTTAAATAATTTAATTAATTTACTGAAAAAATTATAACTTCTGAGATATAATGTATTGATATTACAGAAATAATATATTATATATTTATTATTTATGGTATTACATATGGTAATTGTATTAGCAATCAAACAAAATATGGATTATCAATAAAAACTACAATTATGTAGTTATAAATGTTCCTTGGTTTTTTAATTTTTCAGAATCACTGAGACTTGCTAAACGAACACGAAAAAAATTATCTCAAGGACAGACTAATGTAAGTAGTTTTTAATCTTTTTTGAGAAGTAAAATTTAGTTTTAATACATAATTATTTTCTAAAAATTAAAATTCCATAAGCATAAATTTGGTAAAAATTTTTAAAATTAGAATTTAAAATAAAGGCAATCTATACAATGTTGAAAAACAAAAAAAAATAACGATGATTAATAGCATCAGTTTTTCTTTTTAAGTTATTCAGCTGTTTTAATAGCTGCTTTAGTATTTGAAAAATTCTACACACAACAAAAAAGATGCCTTCTTTATTTACCTTCCACATCTTTTTTTTTAAGGTTGAGAAATTATCAGGATTCAAACTGTCAGGAAACATTAAAGCACCATTTGCATATTGTTAAGAAATGGAATGAAGAATGTAAGTTCAATACTTGAATACATGAAGTATGTTTCAGTCATATTGAAAAATTGATTAAAGAAGACACCTATTGTTGTGTGCAGGATATCCAAAACAATAACACATTTTTATTAAAATGGCTGAGCACTGTAAAGAGAATGATTGATGCCATTAAAATTTAATGTATTTCTGTTTTTTTAGCATTTTTATGGATTGTCTTTTTCCTAAAAATGAAAATAATTTTAAAATGTTATGTATAAATATCACAGGATATTTTAATAGTTGGATTTATTTAAAACACTAATGATTACTATAAATGATTAAATAAATAGTTTAGATTTATTAAAATACTTAGAAAAATAATTATTGTTATTTCTATAAGCATGTAATTATTAAATGCATGTGGCTTTTGTATTTTAATCAAAAAATTTTAAAATAAGTGCTAAGTAATTTTGTAGTATATAGGGTTCCTATGCACCTGGAAAGTCAAGGATTTTCATTAGTGTTCAGAAAGTCATAGAATGTCAAGAAATTTGTTAAAAATTGTCAAGGAATTTGTCAAGTCAGAATAAGGGCTGTTTCACACTATGACCGACTGGCAAGACTCCAAGTTGTGTTGCCATGGCAACAGCAGTCTGCCGACTGACTAGTCGTTCCAGTCGGACAGATTTGAAAAGTTAAATATTTGTAGTCGGGTCGGAGCAGTCGGTGAGCTACAGCCAATGAGAGCTTCGAAGTTATAACCAATCAGAGTTTAGATTTATCCAATCTACGTCGAAGTTAGAAAATGGCGGAAAGTATGGATTTCTGGGAAGCTTTAATAAACGAAGTCAGAACATATCCGTGGCTTTATGATATTCGGCGAGCCGATTATAAAGACAACATAAAAAAATAATTCTTGGACGGAGGTTTCCAAGAAACTAAACGTTGAAGGTATGTGATTGACTAATCTAATAATCTGATAATGACGCGATACATCTAATTGCACGATCGCTTTCCATGACGGCCATGTTTTCTGTTTAATTTAAAAAACTTACCATGATTGGCTAGTGTATTGATCTATAACTTGCGTTTTGATTGGTCCTTATGAGTCGGCCACTGACATATAATCGTACTTAGTGTGAATGCTTTTACTACTAGTCGGTTCGATTATAAAATCGGTCGGGTCGGACCAGTCGGTCCAGTCGGTCATAGTGTGAAACAGCCCTAAGTCAGGGAATTTGTCTGGCTGCCCTGTTGAATTTTGCTGACAATATGCTTGACTAAGTGTAGTCATCTGCAGGCAGCAAAAAGTAATGTGGTGCAATACAACTTATGAAAAGGGATTCAGGACCCAAAATTTATTCCAAGCTTACACAAAAATTTTCCAAAAATTTACAAAGTACAAAAAATGATAAATAATTTTAATCCAATTAATTAAGAGGATTCTTAAGAGTTTGAAAAATAAGAGATTTCCACAGCAATGTAAAACATGTTCATTTGTGGGACTTTAAAAGAATTAGAATTAGACAGTTCAAATTTAAAAAATTTGAATTTGCATTCTTATCTGTAATTGGATAGCTGAGTGATATTTTTCAGTGCAATGAATCTGTTTTTTTGCATGTATAGTTTATATATGCAAAAAAACAGATTCATTGCACTGATAGCAGAAATGGACTATACATCATTTCAGAAAAATAACACCTGCAATCATGCAAACAACCTATAAAGTTTATAAAACACTTATTTAGTCCCAAAAATGGTCAAATCTGCAAAATATGCAGTAAAAATTATAAATGCATATTTAATATGCATTATCAAATAATTTTAATTTGATCCATTTGGACTTGAATTTAAATTAAATCAAGTTTATGTCGAGGTTTTAACATCATAGATTTAAGAAAAAAACATGCATGTGCATACAAATCTAGCTCTTAGATATGTGTATAGATAATGAATGATTGATAAATTGATAATGTGTGAAATTGATGCTATATTTATAAATAAATATTCTCTTTTGATTCACTGATAACATAAAGTCAACTCTGTAAAAGTGCACTCTAACTGAAAATAATCTGCCATTTAGAGATTAAAATAAACTTTGGGTTTGGTTATTTGTAAATATCACAAAATAATTTTTAAAAATTTTGTGGTTGAAATATTCTTATACTGTTTTATAATAAAGCTTAAATTATTTCTCATTTTCACAATACAGGTATTTACAATGAGTATTATTTTATGCTTTTAGAAAAACTGCATTATACAAAAGCTGTGAACTATGAACACATACAGAAGGAACATTTTCTGGAAAACAGCAATGCTATCTAGTAACNTAAAAAAAAATTATACGCGAGAATCGAACCCGAGAACTCAAGCTTATGAATCGGACTCGTTACCACTCTGCCACAGGACGCTCAAATAGAAGTACGTATAATTTATACATAAAGTGCTAAAAAACTTTAAGCTCGATTTTCTTGATTATATTTGAGTATTGCACTTTAGTATTTTACAGGTAGTACACTCACATGGTGTACTACTTCTACACCAAAGATTGTCAAAATCCGTTACCCCAAAGCCGTAGGCTCTCCTTGTAAGACAGTTTAGTGAGAATGAATTGAAATATAATTCATCTTTAGAGAAATACAGTTATTATAATAACTGTATTTATATAGGGAAACTGTTATAACTTTAACTTCAGAAGTATAGATTTATAAAGGTCTTAAACTATATTTTTTATAACTGTACTGGTTATGATTCCTAATTTACCAAAATTCAGTACATTCAGAGAAAGACTTTTAATTGTAACATTCATGAACTCATGTAGTTTTCAAATACAACAACAAGTTTGTTGATCACTATAATACAAGAAACTAATTAAATGTATTTACTCTAGAATTTTTTAAAAGAATCAGTCTGTTAAACTAAGTTAAATAGCTAGTGCAGGATTTTTTATTTGTAAAATAATTATCGAAATGTTTTCTTAATTACAAACAATCATTGACTAACTATAACCTGAAATAATAAAAGAAAGTTTTTAAACTGATAATTGTAAAGTTTTCAGTAATATATATGTATATATAAATATATGCAGACATGTATATATATACAACTATATGTGTATGTGCATGTAAATTCAAATAAAATATCCAAATATTCAAACAGAATTCCAAAATAACAATTTATTTCCAAAAAATTTAAATGTTTTTTTTACAAATTTTTAATATTTAAATACGTTTTTTAGATACATAGTACATAGGTAATAACTTTGATAACAATGAGATATTTATCTAATCACATACAGTAATACCTCAACTTACGCTACCCAGAGTTATGAGATTTTCAAATCTCGTCGATTTGTCTTTTGTTTGAGTGCCACGCTACTCTTGATTACTCACTCCCCCACACTATTGTTCAGCTTACATGTTGAGACATGTCGTGCAGAATCGATGCATAGCTACAATTTATTTTGTGTTATTTATTTCTGTGTTTGTTATATCTACAAAGACTTGAGAGACTCTATGTGGTGATTTCTTGTAACTGTGAACGAATCAAAAGAAGAGATAAGATTAATGAGAACATTTTATTAGCTTACATACATCTGACTTAGATTTTACACAAATTGCGAAATTATACCCTAACTTACGCAAATTTGATTTATGCAGTTATCGCTCAGTCCCACCTATTGCATAAGTTTGGGGTATTACTGTACACTGAACCAATTACAGTGTACATATAACAAAAACAAACAAAAATCAGTGGCGTACCATAGTGGGGGCGGCACTTTTTAGGGGGCAGCAAAATTTCACAATAAATAATAATAATATCTTGTAAAAATTTGAAACATCCTAATCTATACTTGCATCGCGCCTACAATAGTGCTATTGTCCGGGAATCGGCTCACCGTATGGGTGAACTAGTAATTTTTTTTTTTTTTTCTTGTACGATTCATTCGCATTCATATACACCACTAATATCCAATAGAACTATTTTAAACAGGTCGCTGCACTACCACCAAATTTTTCATTGCTTGTTCTGTGACAAAACTGAATTTTGGGTTTTTAAATTGAAATACCTAAATAAGGGGCAGCGAAATTTTCCTCTGCCCCAGGTGGCTGACATTCATGGTACACCACTGACAAAAATGACTCTTTGCGTAGGTATGATGTGGCTTTAATTTTTTGAACTTATATTTGAACTCTTGTTCAAATTTTATTCCAAAATGAAGAATCATTACAAAACCTGATGAAGAACTTGAATGGAGTTTGTAAACATTCATTTTTGTTTGTTTTTGTTATCTACACACCGTAATTGGTTCAGAGTACATGATTAACTATATCCTAGTGTGGTGTAGTTCTGTTTAATAAAGATTTTGAGAATTTGAAAAATAAGAGATTTCCACAGCAATGTAAAAGTAAAAATCTCCCATTCATTCCTGTATTCATTTGTGGGACTTTAAAAGAATTAGAATTAGACAGTTCAAATTTAAAAAATTTGAATTTGCATTCTTATCTGTAATTGGATAGCTGAGTGATATTTTTCAGTGCAATGAATCTGTTTTTTTGCATGTATAGTTTATATATGCAAAAAAACAGATTCATTGCACTGATAGCAGAAATGGACTATACATCATTTCAGAAAAATAACACCTGCAATCATGCAAACAACCTAT